AGCATTCACTGATTCAGCCTTCAGGGTACGTGCTATAGACAGACTGCTTTAGAAAATATGATTTAAGCAGCGTAAACCTTGTTCAACAAACATTTGCCATTGCAATTAAACTGTGCAACTGTAGCCTCACATTCACACAGGTATGGGCTCTAATAATAGCAAAAGCAGTTCAGTCCTTTGTTTAATAACAGTCAAGAAATCCATGTTTAACCCTCCTCTTGAGGGTCAAAAGGTTATCAGACACTTACTCTTCGCATGTCAGCGGAAAGTACTTTAGAAAATAATATGATTTAAGGAGCGTAAACCTTGTTCAACAAACATTTGCCTTTGCAATTAAACTGTGCAACTGTAGCCTCACATTCACACAGGTATGGGCTCTAATAATAGCAAAAGCATTTCAGTCCTTTGTTTTAAAACAGTCAACAAATCCATGTTTAACCCTCCTCTTGAGGGTCAAAAGGTTATCAGACACTTACTCTTCACACGGCAGCGGAAAGCCCACATTCAATCTGTGATTCTTTTTATAAAAGGGCCTATTTACATTAAATTTTGGATTTAAACCATTTCATTATTTCTCTTAATAAAAAAAAATAACATCACTAGCTCTCACTTCAGTTTTCAACTTTGGTGTATACACTTACATGGAATGGCTGTATAGTCTTTTGTACCAATATGGAAGAAGAGGAACAAAATGAATGCCCCGCCCCAAATAAAAAATCATACGTTTTACTCCTAGTACTTACTTAGTGCTGTTCTGGTGTTCTGCATCATTCTTGAAAGACCCGTCTATACTGGCGACGAATGCCACGCAACAGTCAAATGTGATGTCCCAAACGGTGCACATCCAACTGAGGAATGTTTGCATCTAGGCTGGCTTAACTTGCATGCTCAATTACACATCCTATATATATATAAAAAACAATTTTGATTTAGCAACTTTATCTATGCGATTCTTAAACAGATTCCTTGGTTTTACAGCAGCTTTACAATGCGAACTATTATACTGCCTGTATCACTTTTATATTTCATAATTTAGTGAGTTATATAAACAAGAGCCGCAGAGTGTCTGCGCTCATCTGAGGTCTGTTGCTACGGTTATAAACGTAACATTTAAGTCGTGCGTAGCGACACCTTTGTTAGGCGCAGATATGCAGCTACGCAGTTGCGTACACATAATTTCAGCAACCTTCTGCATTCTGCATACCTCCCAAATCCCATTGGTTGATACAAATCGCGTGCCTGAAACTCCTGTTTTATGGTGCATTGTGACCCTAACCCTAACCCTATTTTTTTTTTTATTATTTGTTCTTATTAAATTGTTGTAAAGAAATCATGTAAATATTTGCGTTAATTGGACAAAAATAGTTAAATGGATAAAGATATAAAAATACAGAAAACAAGTAAATAATAAAAAATCTGTTGGGATAAGATCCAACGACCTTTGAGCCGTGTGACGCCTGTGCTCTAGCCGTTCGGCTATCCAGGTTTATTGGCTTTCTAGATTATGGATGTGCCATGAATATGAGAACACTGTGACATAATTGAGGCAGTTCAGGAATCCACGTTTAACCCTCTTCTTGAGGGTCAAAAGGTTCTCAGACACTTGCTCTTCGCACGTCAGTGGAAAGCACATTTCATGGTCCTTTCAATAAAGTGATAAAAATGGTAGATCAGCGCTGAACCAAAAAAGTTTTTCACTCTGTCCATTAGGCCATGTCCTCAGAAAATGCCTGATATCTGACCTTTCCCCCACTGCCCTTTGACCTCCAATTTTGCACTGGTGATGGGTTTCCTGCCCATCACACTATACACCGAATATTAAGAGCATAGGTCAAGCTGCTAATATTTGTGCCGCAATTCCGTATTTCCTCCTATACCTTAAGTTAAGGAGGAAATATTCCCCCTCCGATTACACATCTTGACCTTTGACCCTTGACCCCCAAATTTGTCATCCTGATTCCTTTTCACGATCCCCCCCCCCCCGCCCGACGTCCCAAATATCTTGACCGTAAGTCGAGCGGTTAAGATTTGTGCCCAACTGTTGACGGACGCACGCACGGACGCACAGACGGACACACGGACAATCATGCGATTCTACAAGCTGCATCTGACTTCGTCAGATGAGCTAAAAACTATTAACATTTTCATCATTACATATCGTTAATTTTTTTTAAACAATACAAGACGGCATGAAATTCATATTTTTTTGCTCTGGCCCAGAGGGCTGGTAACAGAAATTTTTTACCAACGCTCACCATAATTTACCAACTCTCACAAATTTTGTTTGTAAAATCAATGTCATGTTTCACACTTGCATTCTCGATTTAAAATTTGTAAAATGTTGATAAATTATTGAGCACTTGATATCCTTCAGGTAAAACAGTAATGTAAAGGCTATTTGCTCATTAATGCTATATAAATAAACATGTAGGTACTCGCAAACACGGCTGAAACCACCGGCTCGGAGAGCCGGTGTTTTGCCCATGTTACCGGCCCTCCAAATAATTTGCCAGCATATATATGCCGGTGGGCCGGTGCTCATTTCGCGCCCTGCAAGATAAATAAAATTAAGATGGATAGTTAAAACACTCAATATTTTATCAAAAGTTGCAATAGAATGTGTTAGCAATGACATTAATAAATGAATTACAATACACAGAATTTTGAATAGCCATCTCCCATTGGCTGTCGAAGTGTTATTTTTAAGTGGTTTTAGATGGACATAGACCAGGTTTAAATATAATATTGTAGCTACTTTTGGTTCATTATAGTAGACATTACTACTAATTTACTGGTATCATTTAGTCGTCAATATTATTAAAGACCATCACACACAACTGGTTTAAGGATACAGTCAGGGTTACGGACACACCACTGTAAAGGGCATTACAACATAACTGCTCATCAAATCGAACCAAACCCACATATATTTAATAAAAGAGATATTTCTCTACACTCACCATGAAAATAATCACAATGACTTCATTGCTAATTACGTGCCAGAAAACTTGTAAATTTATATGAAAATGTGTTTTTATCCACATTTCTCAGAAACAGTAGGGTTATTGGAACCTAAAGGGCCGGACACACCAGGCGATTGCATCGGGCGATGGCATCGCGCAGTCGTGGACACACCAGGCGATTGCATCAGGCGATGGCATCGCCCGATTCTTGCGCGCGCAGTGCGCTTGGCTGATGAACTCTGATTGGCTGATGAATTGTAAAATCGGGCGATGTTATCCCCGGTCGCGGACACACCAGGCGATTGCATCGGGCGATGGCATCGGCCGATGGCATCGGGCGATAATATCAAA